CCGAAGAGTGCCATGAAGGCGCCGACTTTAAGCAATATGAGGATGCCATAGCCGCTACGGCCCTGCTGGTCAGCGGACCCGTCAGTGTACAAGTAGACTTCGTGGTCTGCTTGCCCTGCTTGGGAAATCAGGTCACTCCAATGTACCAACTCTCGCATGGCATTCTGCGTGTTCTTGTGCAACCTGAGACCTTGCCAAGAAAATTGCAGCCAGGTTGGGAGCCACGGTCGCATCAAGGTAGCGAGCTGTTGTGGTGTATGAGGTAGCTGCAAGTGGTTGACAGTCAGGTCGAAGTGCGGGGGCGGTACCACGTCTTCGAGGGAGACGATCTTGGCCCCGGTTGGTTCGTGGCCCACATCCACCCCAAGGGCCGTTGGCAGAGGTCCTGTTTCGCATCCATGCCCCCGTAGAGCCGCAGCGGGACGTCGACTAGGCGAACGACTGCGGTTCACCGGCTGAGGTGGAGGTGGTCCTCGAGGTCGGCCGTCTGATGGGGGTGGTGAAGCAGAAATGTCACTCGAGTTGGGCAGGTTGTCATTGTGAGAGCTGTCGGAATTCTCCGAGTCGTCTTCATCATCTCCATCGCTATCTTCGCCGATCGGAGACGGGGTGAGGTCAGCGGTCTCCTTCAAGAAGAAGTTGAGAGTTTCCCCTGGCTGAACTCGAAGGAGATCTCCTTGTGCAGTGAGCTCTCCTCCCTCAACGATCATGGTCCAGCCTTCGATGCTGGGTGCCTGGATGCCCTCTAAGTACTCGGAGGAGTTAAAGAAAGGGCCAGGTAACAGAAGCCACTGTGGGAACAAGCCCAGACCTCTCAAGTCGACAAAAATGACGACGGCATCCGGATCGTCTGTCGGCGTGGAGCGCGGACCAGGGATCACCGCAATCTGTTTGGCGATGCGGCGACCTGCATGTGTGAGGTCGTCAAGTGGCTGCGCCGGCTCCACAATCCAACTTTGTCCTGGCTGAAAACCCATGAGAAGATCAGCTAGGTCATTTCGGCGCTGGTCTGCATCTGGGAGGTCCTCAAAGACAAGCTGGTTCTCAGGAGTTTGATAGACAACATGTGAACCCCGGCTTAGGCCTGGTGGATGCTGTCTGGGATCCCATCTCGAGGGGTCCGCAAGTCGGTCCGACAGAGAGTCCTCCCAGGCACAGAATTCCCCCGCGAAAACCGTTTTGATGATGCCTCCTTGGATAGCATCAACAGAGTCGTTAGGCTGCAACGCTGTTCGGTTCCCGAAGAGGTAGATGTCGATGTCAGCCGCATCCTCCGGGAGTTGCCTTTCGAGAGATCTCTGCGATATAGGACCGGTGTGGTAGAAGGCGAAGAGCTCGCCCCCTATTCCCCGGTTGTCCATCAACATGACGGTCTTACCGTCAGCAGGAATCCAAGATGGTACAAGGAGACAGCTGCCAAAGTGCGACCCCAGTTGTGGGATCGTGGGGACTGCAGTCTCCGCATATGTGGGCATACTTCGGCACGTGGAAACAACCGCATCGCAGAATCGTTGAGGAGTCAAGGGGAATCCCATTCCAATGTCGATGGTCTCCTGGCCAAAGTGCGGTGACGTTGTCCACACTGTAATGTGTACAGCTCTTCGATCTTCTTCGGACATAGCCGCATCGTCTTCGTGCCCGGTAGGGTTCAGATCAGCTGGTGGGGGGGGCATGTCGCTTGCTTCGGTTTCTAGCAGGGGCGACCTATCCACATCAGCTCGAAGAAGTTGTTCTCGAAGAGTGAGCTGTCCGGAGGTCCACAACTCCAGATCTGTTTGGCGAGGGACTGTCGGAGAAGGTGAAGGCCCTGCTCGCGGATCTCGGTCTGGTAGGCTAGATCCTGGTGTCGGGACCGCTTGCCCAACAGCGACAACCGAAAAAGCCAAAATCATTCGAAGTGGGCAGCTTCGAGAAGCGGGAGAGCTTCCTGCATGTGGGTGGTCCTTGGCTTCCGGTGGAGAAGATGAAGGCAAGGAGGGCTCCCATCTGCGCCGCGTAGAAACTGTGCAGGAGGCCCTGGGCATGTTCCTGTGCAAAACTGCCAAATTGAGTCAGCACGGCACTGACGTAGTCAAGGAGGTCGCGGGCCACGTCGAGGATGTCGTAGTAGCGCCATTGTTGTTCGCCACTGTCAGGGCGACCTCCCTCCTTGCCGTTGGCCAGGGTAGGTCGCATAGCATCGCTCTTTTCAATGAGGTCGTGGCCTCCCGTAGGGCCGTGCCTCTTTGCAAGCTGAGGCTCGCCGCTCAGCCTTCGTTGTTGCAAGGCCAAGTCCAGCAGACCGCTGGAACAAGCCGATTCCGTCACCTGTGGGCTCCAAAGAAGTTGTAGTCCAACAGGCCTTTCATGTGAAACTATAAGGCGCGCTTCACCGGTAGCGTCTTGTAAGCCAAGAGCACCAAAAGGTAGGGCACCGCCATGAAAAAGTGGGGAGTTCCTGGACAAGCCGAAAAAGCCAGGCTCCCTGGAAGGAAGCATGATCGCTCCTGTTACCGGCAACCGCCGCCCCAGCGGCGATGCCACACTGTCTTGACAGCAGAGCAATCCTAGTCGCACCCCGCCAAACCAGAAGTGTTGTCCTCCGTCTTCGTCTCCAAATCGGCGATCGCCTGGTCCTCGTCTGAGTCCAGAGTTTGGACGTCCATTCCTTCCTTGCGCTTGGCCTCCAATTTCTGCGAGAGCGCAGTTCCACTGACTCGGGGCTTCGAGGGGCCACGCCCCAGTTGCTTCACCGGAATACGTGCCCCCGGCCGCGAGCGTGTCCTGGAGATGCCGTCCGGGATCGGTGCTGCCGAAGTGGTAGAAGGCGACGTAGGAAAGGGAGTCCCCTTGGGAGCAGCCCCATCGAAACTGTAAAGGTCGCCCTTGGCTGTCGGTTTGGCTTCCGTCGGTGCGCTTGTCTTCGGATCTTGTGGGGTTCGTGGCTCTCTGTGCGTCCTGCGGGGCGGGGTGTGGAGTGGGGCCTCGCCGTTCCGCCTGCCCGCCAGGGCAGATAGCAGCTGTCGTCGTTGGGCTTCTTGATCGCCACCACCATTCAGGACCTCTGAGAGCAGGTCTGCTAGTCCCGGCTTGGGTCTCTGCTCCGGGGACTTCAGCAACTGGTCCAACTCTTCCAGAGCAGCGGTATTGTCGGGGACTTCCACCCGCGGCTTCGCCACCGACTGGGGCTCCGCAATGGCGAGCTGGAGACCCGCCAGAGCTTCCTCTTGAGTCTGCTCGGCTTCCTGAAGGTCCTGGCTCAGCTGCTCCATCCTTTCGCGGAAACGGTTTTTCTCCTTCACGAAGGTCTGCTGCAGCTCCTGCTTGAAGGTCGCCCATTGCGCCTGTAGGGCTTGGCGCTCCTCTTCGATCTTTCTCGACCGCCCTTCGGATTTCCTCAGGCTGTTGAGCAGCTTCTGGACACCTCTGGCCAGCTGGCCTGTAGTGATCGCCTCCTCGTCGATCTCCATCTGCTCCCTGGCACGCTCCGGTGCCCTGGAGGTGGCACCACTCGTTGCCGGCATCATGTCGAAGGAGGGAAAGGACACTTTCCGAGTGTCCGCCGCGGTCTCTTTGGGGCCCGGGTAGCCATTCTTGGAGGTATCCTTGGTCTTCCCTTTGCCCTTCGGCTGGTGCCATCCGCCATATTGAGATGTAGAGGATGACCGCCAAGCTTGCCATTCCGCATCGGACCATTTTTTGCCCATGGGCGTCGGACCACAGCAATCCCGGCCTTGCTGTAGTTCTCGGTACCGCGGAGCGCTGTGATGCCTGGTGAGGGCAAGGAGATCCCTTAACCAGGGCCGGACACCGCGTGTCCGAAGGGTATGCACCCTTGACCTTAGCTTGGCTCTTCTCGCCCTGGCGCGGCGATGCCAAGACGGCGAGGTTGCTATGGCTCAAAGGTGCTACAGCACCGTTGGGGTTCCAGGCTATGCTGGCCAGCTGTGCGGCCGCTCGATCCCAAACCCTATATATATATATATATATATACATACACACACCCTACCCGATCCCTTTTTTAAGGTACCTACTTTGTGAGGTAAAAGATCAGACCCTGGCCATAAAACTCGATATCCTAAGAAAGTGGTACGGTATGAGCCTCTAGGTAAACTATAGAGGGCTTAGGGCTTGTAGGGGGTTTAGGGTCCTTTTACACATGGATTAGGGGTCCTTAAGGGCTCTATATTATGGTATCCTTTTGAATTGTTTTATACGTTTGTCATTATAAATAAAACCCAAGAGAATATTTGACATAGTTGTTTTTGTATGGTTCTAAGGAAGGGGGGTGTAGTAGAAGCCTGACAGGCACTACACACTGCTTCTGGGTTTGGAGTTGTTTAGTGCGTTTAGGATCGAGAGTTGCTCAGTGCTTAGGGCTTATAGGGTTATAGAGTTGCTTAGGGTTTCGGGTTATCTGGGGTTGCATTGCATAGTGCGGTTGCAGTGCACGCTTTGAGGATCTATCAGTTTCGTTTATCACGATTCCTATAAGGCTGAAATGGATTCGGGTAGTTGTCAAAATTATGGTCCCCTTTTTGGGAACCCTAAATATTAGGTCCGTATTATGATAGGGACCCAAAACAGGGACCCTAATTTCGACCACCACCCATTCGGATATTCTGCAGAAAAAAAAGCGTCGGCTTTGGGGTCTTCTGGCTTAGGGTTAAAGGCCAATCCCCAAGGGTCCAAAGGACCCAATGGTTAGGTAGTTATGTAGCTTAGGATTTTGGAGAGTATATGATTATTAGGTACTTGGACCCTTGGGGAATGGTGTTGGTGATTGTTGCCGCACCTTCCGTAGAGTTCTAGCGCTTAGTTTCGTTTCTAGGGTGTTTAGGGGGTTGAGGGTTAAGGAACGTGGGGGGGGACGCGAAGGTTTCAGGGCGTGAAGGAACTACGATTCAGGGAAGTTTCGGGCTCAGGGCTTATAAGGTCTAGCATGTTGGAGTTAGAGCTTAAGGTCTTTCAGACACGGAAAGCAACCCGTCATGGCTTTTCAGAGTCCCTCGATTCCACAGGAGCAGATTCCGGTGGTTGCAGACCAAGTCCCCGAGGCCGGAACGAGGGTGCTAAAATAGCGGCCTGAATGTCTAGGATGCTCAGTAGTACCCTCATTCCCTTTTTGTAGTCCTAGGTTCCTTATAAAGTTACCCGATACCAAAAAGAGAGGCCTTTTTATTCTTAGGTTACTGGGTAACCTAGTAGAAATACAACATTCCTGGGAGCTCCCGGCTTAAAACGAACATAGATCCACAAAATTTCCGATTTGATGTCGATCATTCTCGGCTTCGTGAAGATTTCTAGAGATGTCGTATGTAGCTTAGGCTTGTGGGGAGGTTAGCAACCTATTATACAGGTAAGTGGCTCCGAGATGCTCCGAGGAACCGATCAACCGAATGCTCTAGACTCTTAGATCGATATGGGGGTTTCCAAAAGTGGGGGACCCTAATATAGTACCCTCAATAGTAGGATCCTTATTATAAGGACTCCCAAAATAAGGTGCCCCTAGTTTTCGGAAACTCCCATGTTGGCCTAAGACGCTGCATCTCGCCAGGGTGCCAAGCCCTCAGTCTCTAGCGACCTCTGCTGGCATTTTGAGACCAGGCTGCAGAGTAGGTGCGCCCTGTCGTCATGCGCCGTTGCTGCAGCTGACATGGGAACATCGCCTTCCAGAGCCAATTTCCCACGAAATCGAGCGGAGCCCTGGCGATTCGTTCGCTTCGGCAGGGAGAGTGGCCAAGTTACTGGGATTGACGAGTTCGAGGTTGCGTCGGCTCTCTTCGCAGGAGAGACTGTGCTCTTGTTAAGGAGTTTAACTTAAGTAACCATAGTGGGTGAATAGGGATCTGCAGTAAGGGTTTAGGGGTAAAGGAACGTAAGTTAGGTGACCATAGTTATAGGGATCTATAGTAAATGATACGGCTTCCGTATGGCAAGTTCTATCAAAATCCCCCATATGGGGATCTATGATCTAAAATAAACAAATATGGTTTCCCGATTATGGCAGCTTCTATTAAATCCCTTAATAAGAAGAACCCAGAGACTCCAATACCCCTTAATTAGGGAATATTCCTTAAATCATATTAAGGATCCTACAATAATTTAAGGTATATTCCTGAATTAAGAGATATTAGAATCCCCTAAACCCTAAACCCTATAGATCCCTTATAGATCCCTGAAAGGAACCCTAGGTATTCCTTAATTAAGAGATATTGGAGTCTCTGGGAACCCAGGAGAGGGATGCCCTGAGCCAGCTGACAGAAGGTCGGCACCTCTTCAACCTTTGTTTGAAGTTCGGCCCCTTTTCTTCTCCAATACCCAACCTTTTAGGGTTTAGGGTTTAGGGTTTCAAAACTTTTTGGGGCTCTTGTGGTTTACTAATAACCTGAAAGTTTAAGCTTTATGTTTTTGGGGCTCTTATGGTTTAGTCGTAACCTGAATGTTTAACATTTTATTTCCGTGGCCTATTGGGGAAGTAAGGCCTTGACAGCACGGCCCTTGCGCTGCTTGAACACGGGGTCCTGGGATGCCGTCTTGAATCTTGGCGTTCCTCTGGGTGCTTTTGGGTTAATCTTTTGGGTGTCAAAAATGAACAATAATAAGCAGGCTAAATATGAAAGTTTAACTTTTTGGAGTGGTTCAGAAGTCAGCCAAGGAATGGGATGACCTGCAGGGCCTTTCAAGTGCACCGTGGACGTGGAGATCCTGGAAAGGCTGCAGGTGTCCATGTGGAAGCTGGCAAAGCTGCAGCGCCTGTTCTTGGGGCTTCCCTCTAGAGACTTCGCCATTGACAGTTTCTTCGAGATCATACAAGCCTAAACCCTAAACCGTAAACCCCTAAACCCTAAACCCTATAAACCCTAAACCTGCAATGCGGGCTTCGTCCTTGCTAGGTAGGAGGGAAAAATAAACCCTAAACCGTAGACCGTAAACCCTAAAACCCTAAACCCTGGAACTCGCGCATGCGATTTCTGTTGGCCCACGATTTGCTGCCCTGGAAGCCCAGTCGTCCATGTCACGGCTAACCCCAAAGTCACTAACCTACCTGGAGGATTCCTGGGAGGGATCTATAGGGTTTAGGGTTCTCTAGGCTTCCTTTAAAGGGATCTACGCAAGGGTTCGTTCCTTTAAGGATTCCTACAAAGGATCTGTAGGGCTTAGGGTTCTATACGAAAAGGATCATGAGACTTAGTAAGTCAGGTCATACGTACCTTAAGTGGGCCTATAAGTGCTTATAAGTATAGTTACTTTTTTTATAACCCCAGTTACTAAGTCCCATGATCCTTTAAGTACTCTGAAAGGACCCAGAGTAGGCCCTTATTCCCTGTTTCGGGGGTTTAGGTTCCCTTTTCATTTTAGGGTTTAGGTTCCCTTATAACCCCCTTTCAACCCAAAAGGGCATCCTTCTTATTCCTAGGTTACTCTTAGGTCTAGTCTTTTAAACCGGGCTTCCGGGCTGGACAATAGGCTCCCAAAAGCCGTTTGGTCTTGGCAGAGACCAGGAGCCGTCTCTACCCCTTCCCCCCCTTCCGAAGAAGAGTTATTCTTAGTACCTTTGGGAAATAACCCTGAACCCGAAACCCTGAAGTGAAAAGGAGAATGACGTGTGGATGCCAGACTGGGACGCAGACCTCCACGAGGCCTCACTCACAGCTTCAGATCTGGCAGACCTTCCTTTGCCACTTGGTCTTCGCAGCCCAGTTTCGGGCCCGTTCTTGTTCATAACCTATTCGAAAAGCAATAGATAAAGGTGTTAGTAAAATTCCTAAGGGTTCCTTAACATAGTTCTGCTATGATATACATACACCCAAACCCTATCATAAATATTCAGGCCCCTATGATTTCTGCCTGTTGTTGTGTTGTCGGGCTTGGTTGCAACCTTTGCTGCCTCGGATTGAAGAAGCCGCAAACTGATACTAATAGGGTTGAGGGTTTACCTTAACCTACCAAACCCCACTTTTTGTAGGCTCTTATTACAAACCTTAATATGGAACTTTTCGGGACCCTACAAAAAGTAGGTTTTGGTAGGTTAAGGTAGGGTGACCTTAACCCTGAATCACCTACCTTTTAGGGTTCCTTAATTATGCTTTCCTTATATAAGTCCTTTGAAAGCTAGGTTCTTCGGGGTAAGGTAGGGTTTAGGGACTGCTCCTTCTGTCAGGACCGAAGCCTTGCTCAATGCCATTCGCTCTGACGCTTCCCTGCCGGGGCTGGAGGTGGGGAATCGATCATACCTAGAGTCTCCATTGTAGTTCCTTTTTCTGGTTAACCAAAATCTATATTATAGGATCCTAACCATAAAACTGGTTAACCAAGAAAAGGAACTACAATGGAGACTATGGGTAATATTAGGGTTTAGGGCTTAGGGTAAAGTTCTAAACCGCACGCCCTAAACCCTGAAGCCCCAATTCAGCCTGAAATTAATTCCCAGACCGCACACCCTAAATCCTAAGTTTTGAAACCCCAAAGCCAAGGACCCCCTGTCAAATAGGGAGCCCCAGCCGGGGTTCTCCGAAGGCACAGGCTCCTGCTGAGGGGTCTCGGGTCTAGGGTTTTCGGGTTTGGGCTTGAAGGGTTTAGGGTTTAGGGAACCCTAAACCCTAAAACTTTGGGGTTTAGGCTTTATAGGTTTTCATGGGTTTGGGGGTTTAACTTCACAGTCATCAAAGCACGAGCTATGACCGTCCAAACCCCTAAGCCCTGAACCTCTCAGCCCTGAGCCCTAGGCTCCTCAACATCCCTAAGCCCCACCTTAAACCCTCAATTGCCTACCTTTTTGGGGTTCCTTATTATGATTTCCTTATATCAAATCCTTAAAAAGGTCGGTTATGCAGGGTTAAGGTAAACCTCTCAGCTTAAAACGTAGGCGTTCGATTTCATGCTTTGCAGGTCTCCAACGAAGCCATGGCCCGCTTATTAGATGTGGCGGTGCTTCTGGGAGATAAGGATGCGTGCTTGGGAGTTGGGGGTGTAGTAGGGTTTCAATGTTTAGGGCTTTCAGGGCTTTGCGCCTAGGAGCCCGATTCACTGTATGGTGGCTTACTTTTCCATTTTTGCAAACCCCACCGTACACATTTCATTCTCGGAATCTACGGTAGTTGCGTTCTTATGGCAGGATTTCAGGTTTGGTATGTCACCGGTCATCTTTTAGCTTCACGGAAGCTGCCTTAAACCCTAAACCTAAATCCTAAACCTTACCTACCAAACCCTACTTTTTTTGTAGGTTCTGATTATGAGCCCTAATACGGAATTTATAGGGTCCCTCTTTTTTGTAGGTTTTGGTAGGTTAAGGTAAGCTTAGGGAGTCGGGTGTCGGAGTAGGACCTGGCTTTGCGCTGTGCCGATCGCTGTCCCTGGAAGCCGTTGAGACGGTGGAAAGTACAGGACCGCCCCACCGTCTGGGATTAGACCTTTTCAAACTTCTCTAATACCTGGAAGATCCGGGGGCAGAATATTCCGCCGCCGCTCCCGGAGGCGTTTTTTCAGGGTAGAAAAGAAAAGAAACGCCGTCGACCGTGTTATTCCGCCGAAGCCAATCCGCCGCCAGCAAGACAACAGCATGGCTGCAGTTGTTGGGGGCTCAGCAAAGCCAACTATAAACACGCGGTGCTGAGACAAGCCAGGACATCAAAAGCATAACAAACTATCACATGTGCGTTGATCCGAATCGGACCCGTTCTTACTCGGCTGAACCTCCGTCGGCGAAAGTGGTACAAGCTCTTCTGTGCGAGTGCAGGGTCGGATGTAGACACGGAGCCCTGGACCTTTATCAAAGTGTGAGTTCGCACAGAAAAACAGTTTCTGGGAGCCAGGGATGGGGCAATGTAGCACTTTGCTGTGTAGCGGAATTGCCGAGAACATACGACATACGAGTGGCCTTCATGCTCGGCGAAAAGGGCGGATGCAACAGACACACACACACTCAGCACGAAGCATGACAGTACCTGTAGTAAACTTCCGATACTCAAGGTTCGGAATCCAAGGTGCATCACGTGAGCCGACATTCCAGGTTGCGAAGTCATGGCTTTTGCATGATCGAAGTGTGTTGGATGCATACGAAAATGGGTTCCGGTAGTTTCCGCCCTTTTCCGCCGTTTTCCGGGTTTTTCCGCCGTCGATTTGGTAAGCTGTGTTTGCTGCTGACTCTCGGATATTCACAACAACACAGCTAAAGCACACGCCAAAGGCTGGTGCAGCATTTGCCCCGTCAACATCTGGCATCAACTACGCCGTTCCTGGGTCAGCTGAAGATACCTGCTGGCCCGACACGCTATGCTTTCCGCCAGTTTATCGTCTGGCAAGACTTCAGCGAAGAAAACCTAACCATGTCAGCAAAGAGGGCCAGTACAGGTCTTGTGTCTGCACCCTTGTTTGGTGGCCCATCGTTGGGACTGTCGGTATCGGATAGATCTGGACCTGACTTATGCTTGATCAGGACATCCTTTCTTCGCTGCCGCTCGTTCCTTCAGGACACTCGCAACAAAATCAAGGAGCGTTTGCGACACACATTCATGCAAACGTACTCGACATCTCAACACTGCCCATTGAAACAGCTTTGCATCGATTCCGTGCCTCGAAGCCACCAGCATGGCGCACACGTACGAGAGCGCCAACACTAGTACTCACAAAGCGAGCGAAGCGACATTTAGGAAATCTGCCGTCAAGAAAGGCATTCCGCCGTCGAAAACCGAAAAACTGCCACAAAGAGAGAGATAGAGAGAGAGAGAGAGATAGAGAGAGAGAGAGACAGGGGGCGAGAGACAGAGAGAGAGAGAGTCTTTTCCTCGCGGCGGCATAATTCCGCCGAAAGGATTTTCAGGTATTCATAGTACTGATAGTAATATGAATAATACCTCTGGTAATAATATTCGTAACATTGATAATATGAGTAACATGAATACGTAGTAGTAGCAATAGTACTTAAAAGTACTAAGTACACGAGCTCCAGAGCCGTGGCTCTAGCTTGAGCCTACATGGTGGTTTCACACAAAACTAAGGTACGAGCTCCGAGTAAGACGGAGGTCCCGATTTGAATTTAGGGTTTATGTGGCTTAAACTTCAAACTTCCAGTCCTAAACCGGGTGCAGGACCTACTCTACTGGGACATCAATGGAGTTGAAGTCAGCGCGCCGAGAGTCCTGGATGCAGCTCTGGCTATCGGCACGTCTCTTTTCCACTTGCGTGCTCCCATTGCGATGGGCGGTGCCTCGGTGATGTTTGCAAACTTTGGACTTTTCGGTACCCTTACCCTCAGCCTTTGACTGCATAGATTATATAATTTGCTTATCTCATTTTATCAGGTATGCTGTATTGTGTTGAGTTGCGTTGTATTTCAGTATGCGAAACTACACCATCGTAAATGATTACATCATCTTATGTTCTGCTATATCAAATTGCAGTATGTTGCAGTACCACGTATGTTAGGTGCATGTTATATGTTCTAGTTGGTAAAAAATATACTACTAATATGACAATACGTGGTTCCAGATTGTATTAACACAATGTTCGTTTGTATGTATGTGTACGTATATTGTATGCAAGTATTTATGGCGCAGTATTGCCCCTCCTTCCCCACCGGCCCCAATGCAACTGGTGCTGAAACCCAGGGAGAGTCTGTCAATCGTGAGGAGGCCGAACCATGTGAGGGGAAATTGAACGGTGAGCTAGTGAATCAGTGCAACCCAAAGGGTCCTAGGTACTGTTATGGGGGATACTTCCCTAAATCATAATAGTAATTCCGAATATAGAAACCCTACATTCTACTATGCAGGTACTTTGGACCCTTTGGGAAACTGTGAACTTGTGAAACGGTCTAACCCTGACCATGGGGGAGACCCTAACCCTGGGGCTCCAAGTATACAAATAGTACCTACTGGTTTAGGGTGAAGGGCTTATGGGTTTAGGGTTTAGGGTTTACTTTGGGGCTTAAAGTCTTCAAATAATACCAACTTTGGGCTATTTGGAGCGCCAGGGTAAAGGTAAAATGCTGAATCTGGTGTATTGATGAGGGGTCCAAACCATGTCGGGGCAACGGGATGCAAGAGTACGCTGTGGTACGCTCGTGTAAGTGTTGACAGATGGACCGATATGTAGTATAGGTCTTTTCCCACAGCAGCCTTACAACATCAGTCCTTCGAACCATAAGAACCAGGTCTATACGCTTCGTACTGGTCCTATGCCATGTCATATGGGAGCATGATGAGAGATCGCGGAATATCTCTTCGTGAGGCCATGGTACTCTCAGGCGACCAGCAGATCTTGGAGCAACTCAGCTACGAGCCCGAAGAGGCTTCCAGGACTCGACACGTAGACGCTCTACTTCCACTAGGGTGGCTTATGGAAGCTGAGGTGAACGGGCGGCGCAAGGTGTCATCGACTCGATTAGAGTTGGTGAGGATGTCCGGGCTAGGACATGGCAGATGCCTCGGCGACAGGGTGCGCGCACAGCCCTTCTCAATGGAGACGACGCATCTCGACCCCAGGGCAAGATTCACACTCGAAGGTTGTACCATGCTTGATTTGTGCATTTACGGTGGTCAAACTCGATGTGCAGGGCTCGGAGCGAGCATGGGAGCGAGCTTGGGCGACCTTTCTCGGATCTTCCTAGAACCGGACTGTATCGACCTGAGATTGTGGTTGGACCATGGGGCGATGGATGCCACTTGTCGTGTGAGAGCAGCCCCCCTAGCGCAGCGCAGGGCTGCTGCCGCACAGGCACTGGGAAAGGCTTTGAAGGCATCGATGCACCAGGCCTCTCGGAGGATGCGTCTGGGTCTTGAGCAAGCTTTGGGGGCCTGGGCGAATGGCAAGAAGGTGCCGCATTTCCTGGCTGACAAAATCCTTACTTTTGCCTCTGAGCGTCCCAGAATTGCAGATCAGCTACAAGCAGTTGCATGTGAATTGGGTCTGCAGTGGGATGCTTCCCAGGCCATACCACAAGTGCTTGATCCAACTGAGGTTGTGCAGCCAACTGCTTAAAAGACCCCATGTTCTGACAGTACGGGCTGGCAGTTGGAATCCACGCCTATGTCTGGCCAGGTGGTTATCGTGTATCGTTCCGGAAGGAGCATCAGCTAAAAGCAGCGGACGCGCGCGAGGTTGCAACGGTGTAAAACATGCAGTCAGGTCGCTTGTTGCACCATAGGTTTATTAGCTTATTTCCCAACGTATGAAGCACAAGGTCTATGGCACCCTAAACCCTAAACCCTAAACCCTAAACCCTCTATGGCACATTTCTGTGGCACCCGTGATGCCACCCCAAAGCCACCTTCAAAGGAAAGGCGAGTTCAACCCCAGGCCCGACAATGGAAGTTTCCGATAGGGGTGCCTTATTTTGGGGTCCTTATAATAGGGATCCTACTGTTTAGGGTGCTATGTTAGGGTCCCCTATTTTTGGAAAACTCCCAAATGGTACTTCAAACCCAGCCTCCTGAATCTAAGCGCCAGTATCCTGCCTGTTTCGGGAGCCTCTCCCTAAACCCTCAACCCTTTACCCTAAGGCGGGCTTCGTCCTTCGTCCTGGCTAGGTAGGAGGGAAAAACCCTAAACCCTAAACTCTAAGCCCTAGAGACCATAAATCAAGAGCACAAACAAAAACCTACCCAAAGGCCCCAAAGTAGTTCCTTTTTGGGGTTCGTATATAGAATTCCATAAGGTAATCCCAAAAAGGAACTACTTTGGGGCCTCTGGGTAGAGACCCATAGCTTCAACTGAGCTCTTCGTGTTTCAAGAGCTCGGAACGTCAAGCCAGGGTCCTCAAGCCGTAACCGCCTCGTTTTCTTACTGGCTGTAAACTCAACTTTGCAACTTTTGGGGCTCTTTTAAGGTAGTCGGTTCTGAAAATTTCAACCTTTATTTCCTTGGGCTTTCGGCGACTGAGTTTTTGGGTTCCAAGAGCTGAACGCGCCGCCCTTGATGTTAAAGGGATAACTGAGGGTTTAGTGTTTCTAGGGTTCTTACCGGGATAACCTTATAGGGTTGCCCTTGTAGAGCCCTAAACCCTAAACCCTAAACCCTAAAGTCTCCAAGTGGTTGCTTCGAGACTGTCCGAGAGACCGCATGCATAAACCCTAAACCCTAAACCCACGGAACCCTGTAACGAGGAGTCTGCCAGTCTTCCCTGGGGCTTCGCGGGTGGAGTCGGCCGCTGGGCGGACCACGCCGAGGAGTCCTCGGGCAATTCTGAGGCAAGGCCTTTGCCTCTCAATCTGCCGGTTACTTTAGTGGTTTAGGGTTTAGGGGGTTCCTTTAGTGGTTTAGGGTTTAGGGGGTTTAGGGTTTAGGGGGTTACTTTAGTGGTTTAGGGTTTATAGGGGGTTTAGGGTTTAGGGGTTTAGGCTTCTCTTTGCCTGACGTTTTTCTGGTTGGCTCTTCAGACTTTAACTTTGTGGGTTTCTATATTAACTGTAACAAACAGGCTAAAAGTTCAACTTTTAGGATTCGGAGGGGTTCAGAAGTCAGCCAAGTATATTTGTCAGGGAGCAAGTTTGTATGTTGTCTTGGTTGCCGGTACAACCCCATGGGAGTTTCCGAGAATAGGGGACTCTCATATACTCCCCTAAATAGTAGGATCCAAGGACACCAAAACAAGGTACCCCCCCCCCCCCCATTTTCGCAAACCCTCCACCCCTGCTGTCGATGATAAAACCCTGCATTATCTTAGGGGCCCTGAACTGTGGGAACAATGGCATATTCCTTATTAGGGGTAATGATAGGATTTATATCAACCCTATAGATCCCTTCAAGGAACCCCTTAAAGGTACGCTGATAGAACCCTTTAAAGGAACCGGGGAACCTGTTATAGAGCCCTTTAAAGGAAGCCTTATAGGTACCCTTATAGTACCCCTTTAAATGAGCATAAGGAACCCTGATTTTCGGAAACC